CTTAGCAACAAACGACACGAATTCATCTCTTTTTTTATTGGCTAGAGGCTTATAAGTGAATTCGGAATAACCCTCATTAGAAATTGAAATATCAACAAACTAAAAATAAGTCAACATTCATCACTAAACCAAATATCAGAAAAAAAAGCAATCAAATTTACCTAATATTTCGTTTAATCAGTGTTAAATCTTTCATTATTAATGCATAAATTTTATGTATATGAGGAAATTTAACATAATCCATAACTATTTATTTTGCACATGTAGATTAAACATTAATAAATATATTTTATTTCTTATCTGCTTTCGATCTAAACTTACAATTTTTTCTTGCGGTTTCTTTTCTATTAACTGTTATCAGAAGACTTTCAACAGCTGTATCAGCAATATAAGTTGATTCTAAATTTTGATCGTCAATATTATTGGATGCGTCGATATCCTGATCACCATTGTTATTATTCGTTGTAGTTTGTTGTTGAATACGATTTTGATCTTCATAACATAATTGAAGAAAAATATTTTCTAAACTCTAAAAAAAAGTCCATGTAATTTGATTGAAGTTTTTAATAGAATTCTAAACAAACAATTTCATTATATTGATTTAAGACATGGTTTGGTTCATCTTCAGCTAATATTCTTCCACTTCGCATAAGTCCAATCTAAATGAAAATTCCTTTTTTTATAGTCTGTAAACGAAAAAAAGGAAATTTTCTACTCGATTAGCTTTTCTTGCTTCTTCAATATAATGAGTTGTTATCATTATTGTTGTTTTACTTGTCTGTGATAAATATATAAGATGGCTCCAAATTCTTTTTAAAAAAAAATTTCGATAAAAAAAAAGAAAATAAAGCTCTTCTATGACAAACTTTTCTCGAAGTAAAGGATCAACTCCAACAGTTGGTTCATCAAGTATTAATAGTTGAGGTTGTTGAAGAAGAGCACATGCTAATGAGACACGACGTTGTTGACCACCACTTTTTAATATAGAAAGAACAAAAATAAATATAAGAACATTTCTATTAAAAAGTTGAAATAGAACCTTAATTGTAAAACTGGCTTTGTTTTCGAAGGTAAATCAAGAAATGAAATAAGAAATTCTTCTCGAGATAGAATTTCTCTTCGTTTCATGTTATGAAGACGACCGAAATAGTGAAGCATTTCTGATATTGAAAAATTTCTATAAAGTGCTGTTTCTTGTGGCATATAGCCAACAGCTCGACCAGGAATTTCATGTCCATGTGTACCAGGTCGTTTACCAAAAACAATTATTTCACCTTGATTTAATTCTAAACGTCCAACAATACATCGCAGAAGAGTTGTTTTTCCACATCCTGATGGACCTAACAGACCATATCTAGATTTAAATATGTATTATTATTTTTTTCTCGATAATTTAATAATATACATGATCCCTGTTGGAACATTAACATTTACACCATGTAAAACTGTTATTGATTTCCACCAATGACCGTATTTTTTCCATGCATTTTCAACACAAACAGCCAAATCAGTTGATTCATTCTCGAAGAAAATAAAAACAACATGTTTTTTTTCAATCAATAAACAGTATCATAAGCTTTTAATTTACAAGACCAAAATTTATCTTTCAATTTATTTGAAATATAGATTCTAAGTTTAAAATCAATCTTAGAACAAAAGTAACAAGCGCATATTTATATTATCAAACACGTTGTCGCTTACCATTATCAAACATTCGAATATAGTTACCGAAGTACGACACTCGACTTTTTCTTTTTTACATGTACAGAACAGGTAAAAACAATCGTACAGCCGCTGAAGGATGACATCTCTCTCCCTCTTTTTTACTTACGTATGTACATTTTTTTTCTTCGACAAAATAGATGTCTAAGAAATTAAAAAAAATCAAACATTTCGCGTTACTGTTCACGAATCCTAATGAATAAGACGAAAAAGTCCTTTTCTTTGTTCTTTTGTTACTTATTTTTACATTAGCGATTCAATTCATTGACAAGCACACTCCATGCACGTGCAACCGATGAAATAAAAAAACTCATAATGTACAAGAAGGTATGTTTCCTTTCTCCGAACAACGTAACAAGTAATAGACAAGAAATACCTCTCAAAAAATAAAATGACCCTAAATAAACAGTTAGAACTCAATAGCAACTTATTTTACTATTGGAACGACAATCTGATACTCTATCAACTCAGTAATTATGTAAAAATATTCGGTTTAGCAATGAACTATTTATCTTTCTTAAGTTTTATAATGACTTATAGGGTTTAAAATGTTCAGGGTGTGCATATGGGTAGTATCTTCATGACCACGCACCTACACTCATAGTCACTTTTTTCAGAAACAACTAACAAATCAATGGATTCGTATTTCTAAAGATTAATGACCAAATTGCTGATCAATTAATTTTCATCACAAGGTGTTCTTTTATATCATGGAGCAAAAAGTTCTTATGAAACTTTATACTTGTTAAGGAACATTTTATCTCGATGAGAAAAAGTAAAGATAAATATAATAAGTAATCGAGTAAATATTATGTCTCACTATTCTTTATTCTAGACTGACAGAACACTTGTTTTTCAACAAGCTTTACAAAGTGAATCAACATTCTTTCGGTGTGAGAGCAAATAAATTAAACTAAACATATTGTTTTTATCACAAAATAGTATATTACTATAATTAGTCGTCGATTGCATATCTAAGGGTGTGGGTGTGGGTGTGGGTGTGGGTGTGGGGTGTGGGTGTGGGTGTGGGTTACAAGAAGACATGAGCCCACATTCACACCCCACACTCTCCCCCACACCCACACACCCACACCCACACCCCACACCCAGCCACACCCACACCCCACATCCACACACCCAGCATTTTTATAAGTTTTGTGAATCTTTTAAAATAATTTTATTGAACAATGGGAGACAATAAACAATAATCTATATATATTTTAGGAGGTCAGAATTTTAGCACGGGGTTAATGGTTAGATGAGAGTGTTGGCGTATAGTATACATGCTCGTGCTGATAAAAACAACATTTAATCAGGAATGAATTGTGGCAAAAGTAGATGTCGCACGTGAACATTTTGAAAGATTTTAATAGTATCTAACTTTCAAAGGCGATTGGTCTTTGACGTAAAATAATCAGTAACGTGAGTCATTTGCATGTTGTCTATTTCTTTGTTATGTGTAATTTCATCATTGCAGGCAAGAGTGCCAATGTCGATAAAAGGTAATGTTATTCTTATTTCAGCTTGAATTTCATCGTGCGAAGGTAAGGCTGAAAAATGTCTGCTTCCGATTCTACGTTTAGAGTCGAATACGCTAAATCTGAACGATCAAAATGTAAGAGTTGTTGGTCAACAATCGAAAAGGGCTCGTTCCGATTCGCAATTATGACTTTTTCATCAAAAATTGCAGCTAAAGTCAGTCAGACATGCATACTATGAAAAAAAATAATTTCTTGAATAGGTTCCTCATTGGTATCATAGCGATTGTTTTTTCAAAAAAGTCAAACTCATTGACGTAAATATTATCAAAGGTTTTGATGATTTACGTTGGGAAGATCAGGATAAAATACGTCATCTTCTTCAAGAAAGTTCTACACCTGCATCGAGTACGTCTCGATTTTGGAAAGATTTAAAAAATTCAATGAGAGGTTCATTTCCCTATTAGATGAAAACAATGCGACCGATACATTTTCTGTTCAATATGCTAAATCGAAACGAAGCACCTGTCATGGATGTGAAGCATCAATTGATAAAGATACAATACGCTTATCGAGAAAAAACTACACAAGTGGAAGAGCGCGACATTATGGACCATTCGATGAATGGTATCACGTGGACTGTTTTAATCAGATGAAAAAAGATCTTGGGTTCTTTGGCACAGCTGAATCGTTCGTATTTGCTGATTGAATTCATGTGTAAAATAATTTTCTATTGAAGATTTTTTGGATTTTCTGATTTGAATAATGAAGATCAGGCAGTGCTCAAAGAGAAATTCGGTACAACAGTTCAATCAAAACGAAAACGTAAAGGTACAGAACTCAGCAGCGAATCAACAAAAGCAAAACAAGCAAAAAGCGATGATGAGAGAGCAGAAAATTTCAATGAACAAGAACAGACGCGTCTAAGAAAGGTTCTTTCATTTTTGATTTATGTTTATAAATTTTTGCGATGTTTATTTTAGGAACAAAGTGAACTTCTATGGGCTTTGAAAGATAATTTACGAAAGGAGATTCCGGCTGGTGTTTTAAAAGAACTACTTGAATTTAATGCACAAAAATCGGTCTCAGGAGAATCGAATGTAATATGATTGATTCATTTGAATCATCTAAATCAATCATTTTAGCTAATCGAAGCTGTCGCTGATATTATGGTATTTGGTGCATTGGAACCATGTCCTGAATGTGATGGTTTTCTTGTATTCAAGTAAGAGAAAAACTTTTCTTTCTTCTTTTTTTGGATAAATTATTTCAACTTTGATGTTTAGTTACACAAGTTACTGTTGTACTGGAAACATTACTGAATGGACAAAATGTTTGTATACAACAAATTTACCAAAACGAAGAGAATTTGAAATTCCAGATAAGATCAAAGAAGAGTATGATATGTTGTAAGTATCTAAGATTTTCATTGAGTCAGACCATAAAAACATTTATTCTTTAGTCAGCAATACAAGTATGAGCAACGAGATCGCATCATACCTCAAGTAACCAAAAAACCTAAATTGATCAACAGAATCGATGAGATTAAAGAGTAAAACTCATGCAGCTTTCCCTATTAGGGACTTTCATCATGTAACAATTTAATTCTAGACCTGATTATGATTCGAAATTGCCTCTTAATGGCTATTCAGTCGCATTAATCGGCCGTTTATCAAAACGAACGAGCATCTTAAAAAAACAAATCGAACAATTAGGTGGAACTACGACTACGAATATTGATAAAACAGTCGGCGTGGTCATTAGTACTCAAGATGAAATCCATAAAGGAAATCCAAAGATCCAAAATGCACAAACACTTGATATTCATGTCGTTCCTGAACTATTCTTGGACGATATTCTCAATGATCGACCATCGATTGTGATGGAAAAACTCAAACTATCAGCATGGGGTATTTTACCACATATTCGAAAACAACGAGCTCGTGAAGATAATAAAATCAAACGTAAATCATCATTCATCGCTAAGTCTCCGGGTAAGTATTTACTCGTAATGGTCGTGAATTTCGACTTTGAGATTTTGTGTTATAGCTCAATCCAAAAGATTTATACCAGAGAAAGTTACCATGAAATTAAAGGATGGTGCTGCAGTTGATCCAGATTCTGGTATGTGTCTAAGTTTAGGTTTCTATCGAATTTCTCAGAAATCAATAACGTAAATACTTTTGCTTATTTTAGGACTTGAAGAAACATGTCACGTATTGAAAGATCCTGAAACTGGTGGTATTTTTACGGCCGTGCTTAATATGGTCGATGTA